TTAATTCTTGTCACAAGTTATGTACAAGGACAAAAATAAGGACTTGCCAAATTTAATTTAAGTTGTGTTTTTATATTTGGAAAAAAATATTTCAAGATTTACCAATTTCAAAATTTATTGAATAATCAGATTTCTAATTAATGTTAACATTAAATTATTAACATTTATTGAATAGTCAGATTTCTTGAATAAAAATTTATATAAAAATATTCTCAAAATTTTAAAGTAAACGTGTTTTCTATTTTTATGTTTTGAGAAATAGTTTTTCAAAATGACAAAAAGAACGCATTTTCAGCAATTTCAAAATAGGCACTCAAAACACAAAATACAAAATGAATTCAAAACTCAAAATTCAAAATTGAAATACAAAGAGAACAACTCCTTAACCTTTAAGATTTTCATCATTTTTATATTCGGAAAATGTTATCGACAATAAATTATTTTCAAATTGTTATTTATGTTCAATGTTATTATAGAATTGCATAGAATAAAGAGTTTGATTTAAACTAACCGTACATAAATTATGTCGATGTGTTGTTTGAAATGAGGAACATCGACTAATGTTATTTCGTAATTAGTATATTACTCAGTAGTTAATCATATGTTATATAGTTTGTACTAAGAATGTAAGAGACACGATTTTTGATATATTTTTCAATAAAACCGTTTATAAGAATTTGACAAATCTCAAACTTAAATCGAACCATTCCATAACCCAATCAAGCCGATATAAAATCACGATTATATTATTTTTAGTTCTTAAAGACTAGCTCATGAATCTATATATAGACAATTAGATTAATATTTAATACTTTATTACCTTATTTGGAGGTTAACACCGTAATTTGATAGTATGGTCGAATTCAATCGAACCAATTCTTGATTTGAATTCGAAAAATCATATTTTTATTTTCTAATTTTTAGATGGTTTGATTTGGTTTCAATATGTAATTAAAATATCAAAATTTAAAGCAAAATATTTTATAGTTAATGAGTTCTATGACACCAAACTGATAGTTTCATTTCACAATTTTTCCTTAGAGCCTTACTCTGTAAAATAAAGCTGAAATGGGCCAAATGGCCGATACCTCAACAGTCGCATTTTAGGCCATACAAACGACAACTGACCTTAATAAGATGCAAATCTACAACCAAGTCCGTGAAGGGTGTCTGTTATATGGGCCTGGCTTACCTAGTTTACAGGCCCATTAACATCGAGAAAATGATGGTCAATGGCCGTTTGACACGGCTCGATTTCCACGATGACCTTTGACCGGATTAAACTTACAAAATCTCTCAAATACCCTTTATTTCAAATGAAGAAAAAAAGGAAAAAAATCTTGCTGAAGAAATCAACTTCAACAATATTCACCATCATCATCACCATCATCTTCTATACATTTAATCATGGTTAGTTTTTGTTTTTATTGTTTAAATTTTATGATTTTACGAATGTGTTCTTTGATTTTTACATTCAATCTGGATAAAATTTATGAATTTATGCTTTTAATTTATGGTTTGAGATAGATATATTAGAATCGATGTTAGGGATGATTTTGATGATTTTTTGAGACAGAATTCATCGAAAATGATGAACTCCGTGGTGCTCATGGACTTCTGGAAAACCAGACGATCGTGCATTTGGGCCTATATGGCCTTGACGTTCGGTCACAGACAACCCAAATGTCTAGACAATGGTTCGGGCGTCTGGACCCTAACGATGGTCTGGGCGTCTGAGCAATTTTACGGCTATCTTCGTCTTTTACATTTTGAGAAAGTCATTGTGGTGAATAAAGAATAAGTTAGGCTTATGTGATGAATGATAACTTTGACATGGCCATTTAGAGAACACAACCCATTAACATCTTCCACCTTGAGACTATGCAAGTAATTTTAGTATTAAGCACATGTTTGATTCTCATTTTTTGTGTAAAATGTATTATGAAATAGTGATTTTTTGGATAATGTATGGTTAAAAAGTAAGATTTTTTTTTGAATACGTGTATAATTATTTTATGGGAGAATGTGTGTTAGAAAATGAGTTTTGAAAAAAATGTATTCTTGAAAAAATGGGACTTAAACGGGGCTAAGCTTTTTAATGTTACTTAATAGTGTTAGGTGCCCGACATCGTCTTCAGGTAGAAATGTGTGGAACGGTTGCTATTATATCTATATATTACATGGCATATGCTTGACGGAGGGCATCCGACATTGGCTGAATCAGTGTCAATTATTTAATTGGATTGGAGCTATTAAATTAAGAAACCTCGTCTTAGGCTTGAACTCACACACATCTTGCCCATTTCCACTTCTTTATATATATGTGTGAGATCATTTCACACCAAGGTAAGATGACAATCTAGCACTAGCCAAACTTCTCTCCCGTCTCTTGTGCTCATTATATCTTCCAGCATTTGAATTGACCGTTGGAGTGCAAACATTCGTCGAACCTTTTTCTCGTTTGATGGTCTTTGCCTCATAACAGTGTATTTTAGTGTGCAGATGACGCCTACAGGGAGGAGAGGTGACCGGAATTCTGTTAACAATGCGTCCGTGTAAAAATTGAGATCAGCAAAAGCTACATTGGTTACACGAAACATTGTACATACACTGAAACTCACAACCAAGAGCATAAGCTCTTTCGTAAACAGTTTGAATATTTTTTTATTAAAGAGACAAAATGCAAATAATATTATTGGTACCTTTTTAATAAGAAGAAAATATATAATATTTATGGATGGTAGGATCTAGGAGTCCTAATGCAGATTATTCAAAACCATTCCAAATTGATAAGATATTCAGATTGAATTAAACATTGATTGACGTGGAGATGATGGGGAGATCCTCTCTTCCACTATGTAAACAATACCTTTACACTTGCAACAATCATCATTTAAAGAAAGAATTTGAAAAAGAATGGTTATCCACTATCCACGTAAACGTTTAGACCACTAATTCAATAAAGAAGCAAACATCCCACCTCAGAAAGCATGGATCCAACATGCATACAATTAAAGAACCAGTCTTTGTGAGGATTCAACAAATAAACTGCTGACCACCCTACCCTACCCGGCTACCCCACCCCTTCCCCTTTACCAGATTTTCTGTAATTCAGTTTTGTCAAAACCCCACATCTTTTTTTATGACACAGACATGACTCATGCAGCTAAAATTCAAGATCCAACAACTACTCTTTTCCAGTTTCCTCTATATATAGAGTGAAGAAGCATTGTTGGATCCCAGAAAGCTTCTTGTATCTGACTCATCTTTGGTGTCTTTGAACATTTCATTACTTACAACCAAAGCAAGGAGGTAGACTGTCTCAGCAAATCGACATTATGAAGAAATTAGATGTTATTGGAATTCCAATCAACTTCATGGACAGATATCCAAAACGACTTCTATCAGATTCTGCTAGTCAGTACAGTGTTGCGCCTTCTCCTTCCAATGAATTTTTCAAAATCAGAAAGAGTACGTATATTTTCTGTCTTTATAACTCGCTACGAATTCCCAGTTTCAATACTCACAACCTTACTGGATTTTCTTGGGAATACAGGCAGGACAAATTCAGGAATCCTTGGGATGAATAAATTTAGGGAATGGATGGATAATTTTGCACAAGGAATCCGAGAGCATGGTAATGCCTTAACCTAGATTATTTGTAGTAGTTGCCATTAGACAGTGTTGGAGGATGTTTGATATACTCGACTAGACAGAGCCAAACATAATTAAGGACGAGATTTGCTATTTATTATATAATCCTATTTTATCCTGTACAACAAACTTGCTATCAATTACTTCTCGAAACACACTTCTCTTAAAAAAGAAAACATTTCAATTTATCATTGCATTTTCCCTTCTCAACCGTCAAATACAATTGAATTTCTCAAATCATGCAGTGCACAGTGGGATGAGACCTAATGTTTCACTTTATTTCTATCCCTGCAGTGAAATTAGGACCCAAATTATCAGAAACTGTGAAAGGGAAGTTGAGACTGGGAGCAAGAATTCTTCAAGTAGGCGGCCTGGAAAAAGTTTTCAAGCAGAACTTCAGTGTTAGCCATGGTGAAAAGCTTTTAAAGGCTTCTCAATGCTATTTATCGACCACAGCTGGGCCGATAGCAGGCCTTCTGTTTATTTCAACTGATAAAGTTGCCTTCTGCAGTGAGAGATCAATGAAACTCTCTTCTCCAACTGGAAAACAGCTTAAAATACATTACAAGGTACATGACCGTTTCAATTGTTTTGAATCACAAATTTATATTCCATCTTCTCCTACAAAATGAAAATCTAACTGTTTTCAGAACCTTGCAGGTCATGATCCCACTAGGTAAAATAAAGGGAGCCTGCGAAAGCAAAAATGCAAAAAAACCAAGGCAAAAGTATGTGCAGATAGTTACTGAGGATAAGTTCGAGTTCTGGTTCATGGGATTTCTAAATCATCGAAAGGCTTTCAAGTATTTGCAGCAGGCAACCTCTCAAACTCCATCAGTAGCAGATATTGATGCGTGGATGATCTCTTCATAGAAACTACACATACAGTCACAACACCTGTAAAATTTGGTCTGTTCACAAACATAAATTAAAACTATAGAAGTGTTGATTGTAAATACATTGTGCAATTTTGAAAGTAAAGTATTATTCAAAATAACAGTTTCTATAAATTGTGTATTATACAATAATTTGTTTTCTTCTAATAATCGTCTAGGCTGTTTCATAGAAAATGTTGGTTTTGTTTGAATTATATTATGTAATAATACCATGATCATAGTCTCTACATTAGAACAAGAGGTTCGTCGAATTCTATCTAGTGTATGTTTGAGAAACATTATAATTTCCTTATAAATTTAATGATCAACGCCAAACATCAACTTTGACCACACATTTCATAAGAATCAACTAATATCCACTTATGGATTACTCATTTCTATCACATTTTAATTTCAGCAACTTATAATTTTACATTAATGTTTATTCATCAACAACATTTCTTTTTATTTTTGATGGTCGACAAGTTTTTCCAAACACGTGTTGGTATGAAGAAGGAAAAAAAAATATCCAGGCTCCATCACGGTGTAGACTTGTCCATATGAGTTGGCAATGCCCATGAATAGAAGGATCATTTGTAAATCACCAATTTTTAAGTTGTATACAGCAAAGCATTCTCCCTAACTCTCTCGTGTTATCAACATTCTTGACACGAGTCTTGATTTAGGTGGTTTTAACTTTTAAAACAGTTTGCCACTATGCTAGTAATTAAGAAATGTCCACTTTCATATGATCATTTGTAAAAATGTCCAAAATTTATTCAATATCCATTTTACAATAATTTAGATCAAAATACACTTGTTAACAATTTATAATTCCACACTACTGGACAATTCATAAAGAGAAGTATTTCAAAGAAAGCATGTTAAGAGGAATTACCACCAGATGATAAAAATTTCTAGGCAAATAAACACTTATAAAAACTCCATTGAAGGTTATAAAAGCTTCAATAAACAGTATTTTTATGAGGGACAGAATCTTGCCTCTGGAGTTGAAAGAAGCTTGAAATCCTCTTCAAATTTATGGTTCGGTTCCGGTCGTGATAAAGGGGAGCTTCCCCTCCGAAAATGGGGATCTCGTCCTCTTCTAATTTCTGGTTCACTTCCGGTCGTGATAAAGGAGAGCTTCCGGTCCGAAAATGGGGATCTCGACAGAGGGGGGTATATTTGTGGGCTTCCGGTCCGAAAACGGGGAGCTTGTTCAAGAAAATAATAGTTCGTTTTAAAATCACCCCAAGTGTACGGTTCGTTAACAAGT